TGTCATATGTGGGCCCCTCAGCAAAGACAGTGATATGTGTGAATGATGGTGAAAGTGTTTTCTTCTTTGGGTCACCCTGCCTCAGTGGGAGACGACCGATGTGTTTAAACAAAATCAGTAAAAACTGGGGTGTCATCGCATCCCTTGCTAATATGCTTTCTTATTGATAATTACACTTAGAGTAATTATTAGATATGTAGTCTTTAAGCATTAATTTCATTTTTTATATAGTATATACTATTGAAGGGACTGTTAAAATATGGTAAGGCATCATTGTTTACTCCAAAATCCTCTTCAGAACAATGCTTCCACATTTCTCAAGATCTTTTTTAAGTGACAATTCAAACATTTTACCAATATCCAGGATTTCCTCAAGTAGCTCCTACAGTGTTAAGTAGTTTATCTTCAAGTTCTTCTTAATCATATTATTTCTTTCATTGGCTTCTTTCGTATCAGTTTGGTTCCTCAAGCAATTCCTTCTTTGTCACCCTTTTGCAGCATTTCATTTGCATCTTCAAACTCCTCATATCTTGGTTCTTGCCAGATCCACAATTTCCTCAACCTAACTAACTCCTTCCTTACTTAGAGGAAAAAGAGATAAATTATTCACCACTGAAGGTCATAATTAACCCTACCCTTCATTTACACAAGAACATCTGTAATGTTAAATTTATGCAATCACTCTGGCACAACAGTCTTGGAACCACCATCCATTACTCTGATGAGTTTTTACATAACCAGGCAAATGTATTTGTGCTGAAATGTCTTTCTAACTTCTCCATTCAAGGAGAACCTTGAATATAAGATTATCTTTTTGGCCAGGTATATCTTGACTGCAGGAATAAAGTAATGTCTTAATCAACAAACAGTGTTTGTATTGATGTTTTACAGCACTGTCAATTACCATTGCCTTGTGATTGTCCTGTTGCATTTATTCAGAAAAGCAAGGTAATTTTTACTTCCTTTGCAACAAGCTGTGCTTTTTACTTGCTTGTTAATGTAGGTTCTTGATGACATGCACCTTCAAGGTTGTCCTATCTTTTCACCATTAACCCTTTCAGGGTCGACAGGCCCTCTCAGACTTGTTCTCAGGGTCACCTAAATTTCAAAAAAAAAAAAAAAAAAATTCTTATGAAAAGACACACAATCTTTTCCCGATCATAATGACACCAAAAGTATGAAATTTGATGGAAAACTTGCGGAATTATGCTCTTGCGAAGTTAGCGGTCTTGACGATGTTTACGCATCGGCGATTTTGCCCATTTTGAGCATTATTTCTGGCCAATTCCACTGTATTAGTCGACAAAAATCATGAATATTTCACTAGAACTCCATTTTTTCTATCAAATGAGTGCAAGAAACCACCCATTTACCAATTTCAACTATCCAATACAGTAGTCAGAATTTAGCAATTTTGCCAATTTCACACAAATTTCAAAAGATACCAATTTCCAAATAGGGTCCAGAATAAACAAGAAAGACATTCCTGGCACTAAAATGACATTTCCTCTGTTCATTAGTCATGTCCCAACGCCCCTCTTACATTCTTTTGCTTTCCACTTTGAATTTTTATTCTCACAGAAAATAGAAGATTTACCGTTACGCAGACTACTGCATTAGTGTAAAAAATGGTATAAATAATATTGGCGCACTTGTGAAAGAATATTAGACTCACCAGTTGACGTGTATTGGACGCTTAGCATGATTTGTTTACTTTTGAACTTTGGTAAAAATCGAACATTTCTGCTACTTTGAGCTCAATTTCAAGGTACTTTTCATTGTAAAATCAGTCAAAATCATCTCAATTTCTGTAATATGTCTTCCATTCTATAGAATGAGACCAGGAAAACTAGAATACAACAATAAATACCATACGAAAATACAGTGCAAAGTCGCTGTTTTAATCCAAAACATGGTCAAAGGTTTTTTTCTCTCATTACGCACTGTGTGCTGCAGGATTTTTTGTTTTCTGCACACACTGACCACATAAACCCATTCTTTCATATGTAGGCCTACCAGCTTTCTCTCACTAGATTTGAGGGCGCTAGAATTTAGGCGCACTAGTACGTCGAAAACCCTGGTGCGTAAGCCGTACTAGAATGGGTGAAACCCTGAAAGGGTTAAATACTCAGTTTAGACTGGAACCATTCTCAGAAATAATTTGCTTAGAGTATGCAGGGAAATTTTACATGGAAGTGTGATCAGCTGCTGTACTCTTAGACTCCACATCTTGTGTTATGAAGTTGATTGTCCTTTCCTGATGTTTTCAAATAGTCACACAAACATACTGTTGTAAACACTCTCCTTAAGCAATGTTTTGCAGTATTGTAAATGGGGGTTTTGTGTCTTACTTTCTGAGCATTGAGTAGGGACACTTTCCTTGTTTTCTTCTTGGTCTTTACACTTGGTAACAGTTCCTTGTGTTCTGTCTAATTGTATGTATGATGAATTATTTTTATTTATTTTTATTAACACATCAGCCGATTCCCACCAAGGTAGGGCGGCCCGAAAAAAAAAAAAATTCATCATTCACTCCATCACTGTCTTGCCAGAGGGGTGCTTTACACTACAGTTATAAAACTGGAACATTAACACCCCCTCCTTCAGAGTGAAGACTACTTCCCATCTTCTGGACTCAAGTCCAGCCTGCCAGTTTCCCTTAATCCCTTCAGAAATGTTACTTTCCTCACACTCCAACAGCACGTCAAGTATTAAAAACCATTTGTCTCCATTCATGCCTGTCAAATACGCTCACGCATACTTGCTGGAAGTCCAAGACCCTAGCACACAAAACCGCCTTTACCCCCCCCCTCCAACCTTTCCTAGGCTGACCCCTACCCCGCCTTCCCTCCACTACAGATTTATACACACTAGAAGTCATTCTGTTTTGTTCCATTCTCTCTATATGTCTGAGCCACCTCAACAACCCCTCCTCAGCCCTCTGGATAATAGTTTTGGTAATCCCGCACCCCCTCCTAATTTCAAAACTACGAATTCTCTGCATTATATTCACACCACACATTGCCCTCAGACATGACATCTCCACTGCCTCCAGCCTTCTCCTCATTGCAACATTCACCACCCATGCTTCACACCCATATAAGAGTGTTGGTATAACCATACTCTCATACATTCCCTTATTTGCTTCTACGGACAAAGTTTTTTGCCTCCATGGACTCCTAAGTGCACCACTCACCCTTTTCCCTTCATCAATTCTATGATTCACCTCATCCTTCATAAACCCATCTGCTGACACTTCCACTCCTAAATATCTGAATACATTCACCTCCTCCATACTCTCTCCCTCCAATTTGATATCCAATCATTTTGTTATCCTCATCACCTTACTCTTTCCTATATTCACTTTGAATTTTCTTCTTTTACATACCCTACCAAATTCATCTAGACAAAACATACAAGCATTATGCATCACATATGCATATTTAAAGTTTCCATCTTCAGTACCCTTGGAGCTGATTAATACATTCTGCTTGATACCTCTAGCATCACTGATATTCCTCTTGGGTGCCATGTTGAATGTCCAGAATAGAGATGATGTGAGAAAAGATCCAAAATACTTTGATGACACTGAGAAAGGAACAAGACAAACCCAACTTGTGTTGAAGGGAAAGAAATCAACTATGCAAGCTTAAGTGATTTTTACATATAACCTGAGTATTCTGTGCCTACAAAGCTTTTTCAAATGGTAATCAAGAAAAGAATTCAGTTAATCAGTTGTATTTACACAGAATCCATACTACAAGTTTGAGTCCATATTATCTCATTTTTTAATCTATTTCAGTGCTAACTCTGTGGCTGACATCTTGATCAAGCTCTAAAAATCTTACCTGAACCTCCTGTACTACACCTCTTGTTTGTGCTCTAATAATCTTGTCTGTAAATTCTAACTCATGTTACATTCAATTTTAAGCCTAGAGGTCTCCCTCACTAGTATAGAATTTAATTCAGAATAGGCTCATTGGATTTGCCACACACTGCTTTCTTTTATATGAGTATAAGCCCACAGACTACTTTTTGAAGAGGCATCCCTCAGATGGTACCTCACCACCACAATGATGCACACTGAACACCAACCTTCCGATGGTACCTCACCACCACAATGATGCACACTGAACACCAACCTTCCGATGGTACCTCACCACCACAATGATGCACACTGAACACCCAAACCCTTCCAATGGTACCTACCACCACAATAATGCACACTGAACACCAACCTCCGATGGTACCTCACCACCACAATGATGCACACTGAACACCAGCTGTCCATGGTACCTCACCACCACAATGATGCACACTGAACACCAATTGTCCAATGGTACCTCACCACCATAATGATGCACACTGAACACCAGCTGTCCGATGGTACCTCACCACCACAATGATGCACACTGAACACCAACCTTGCAATGGTACCTCACCACAACAATGATGCACACTGAACACCAATTGTCCAATGGTACCTCACCACCATAATGATGCACACTGAACACCAGCTGTCCGATGGTACCTCACCACCACAATGATGCACAATGAACATCAACCATCCGATAGTACCTCACCACCACAATGATGCACAGTGAGGAACAACTAGTTTGGGGGGAACCAAGTCCCAAAGTTTGGGAGGAGAAGGCTAGGGAAACCCTGCCAGACCTTTTCCCTGATGGTTCCACCATGAGAAGTATGGCTCATGATCATGCTACCAATAGTCTTCATGATATTTCTCATGAGGATGGTGAGGGCTTAAGTCTGGAAACTCTGTTCTCTGATGTTGAACTGCAGTCAACCAAAGAAAAGGATGTTCCAGCCAGAGCTGAGCATGATTGGAGCATGGATCAGTTAAGTAGAGTGAGAGAGGCTGCACCTACTAGGGTGCAATTAATTTCTGCACAGGAGAATGATGTCACTCTTAAGCTGATCAGAGCCTCAACTGTGGCTGAGGAAGAGATTTTACAATTAAATAAGTGTTTTCATTTCAGGGAGGAAACTCTTACAAAGAAGTCACCTCTGTTTGCAGTACCAATGGAAGGAGAACAAGGGTTTTGTCACCAGATGGTGATGTCCAGGCATTTCTTCTGGCCTCTGCTGTGAGAGACTGACGGAGAGTATATTAAGACCTATCATGTCTGTCAAATTATAGGGACACCTAGTCAAAGTATTAAACCTGTTCCCCTTCAGCTTATTTCAGCACCAAGTGAACCCTTCAGCAAGCTGGTAGTGGATGTAGTTCCAATTCCAAGGACCAGAATGGGAAATGAATATTTACTCACAATTATTTGCTCCACTACCAGGTACCTGGAAGAAATACCTCTACATAAGATAACAGTTCATGTAGTCTTAAGAGCTTTGATGAAGTTCTTTTTCCTCAAGTGATGCAAACACACCAAGGGCCTAATTTTACCTCAGAGTTGTTTAGAAATGTTTTAAAGGGATTAAAAGTAGAGTTTAACTTTTCAACTGCCTATCACCCTCAATCTCAGGGAAAAATAGAGAAATTCCATCAAACCCTTAAGACAATGCTGCATGCCTATGGTATAAACAATAAAAACTGGGATGAGAGGATCCCACTTTTTGTATTTGCTGAGTGGGGAAGCACTCTGGAATTTCTGAGCTATTGGCTTGGGGGGGGGATGATGATGCTCCCCTCTAGGAGCTTTTTCTCAGTTTCAGACACTGGCTCATATGAAGTGGATAGTACCAGTGAACGTGCCCATCAACCAGACCAGGATGATGATGTGGGACCGTAATGTGGACCATAGTGCTCTGGAAGCTGGGGAGAAGGTGCTGGCATTGGAGCCAATTCATGTGAAAATCTGGATGGCAAGTTGTTGTGACCTGAACATGGTGTGGGGAAAGTTCTCAGGCATAAGGTATAAAACCCACATGCGAGCAGGAAAAGAATGAATGTAAAGTACACAGTAACCGGTTAAAGGGTTTAAAGTTATATCAGAAATCCAGAGAGACGAATATTTTAATGGAATGTAAAGGGGTGCAAAACAGTAATCTTATGTAATAGCAAAGGTGTATTTAACCCTTTGACTGTTGCAAGCCCATTTCTGAAACTGCCATTCTATTTCAAAAAAATAAAAAATTTATTTTTTCTTACCAAAATGTTATGATTATTTTGCTGAGTGTTTTAAGCCTAAAAATTTTTTTTTTGCGATCAGTACTTACCGAGATATAGAGGCATAAAGTTGGCAGAAAATGAGCAGCATATGGCAACAGCGGTAAATGCCGCTCACTCAGTATACAATATTGTATACTGTCACTGACAGTAGTGTCACCCCCTATTTTCTTTAATTCTTTGATTATATAATGTACAAGTATAAAGAAAGATTTAAAGAAAAAAAAAGATTCATTATATTGAATGTTATCAATAATATCCTCTTCAAGGGGGGGCTCCTTGCTGTGGTGAAGAGGCTCTTGGTCTGAGGAATCAGACCTGTCGGTCTCCTTCCTCAGACCGAACCTAATTACCCCCCAATCCCCCCCTCTCAATCCCATCCTCCCCTTTTTCCTTTCCTCCTCCTCCTCCTCCCCACCCCTCCCTATTGCCCTTTGGGATTTCTCCCACAGGCGCGCAAAGTCTAGGTAAGGGAAAGGATACCGGGTCCACCTTTCCGTTGAGGTTCTTGGCGGAGGGCGTATTTGCCCATGGAATCTGGATCGCCTGGGATGTCCCGATCCCTCTCTGGAAACCCCCCGATTTACTTTGGGTCTTTCGGCACGGGTGTATCCGGAAGCCACCTTTCGGTTTCCGGGGGGGTGGCCGAAGGAGGTACTTTGTGTGTGATATCCGGCGCCCTCCTCTTTTGTCCACCGAGGAGCTCGCAAGTAAGTTGCTATCCTTATTGCTGGTTTACGGCATGAAGGGTAGGTGGCCCGGTTCCATGTGCATCTGCGCTCAGCGGTGCTGATTCCTCTTGGGGCGGAGGGAATTTCCGGCCAATTCATTCCTCCTGGGATATTCCTCCCCGCTCCCCCCTTTTTTATTCTTTTTTTATTTTTTTTTATTTTTTCTTTTTTCTTAAAAACAAAAGCAAAGGAGTAACCTAACCATGGAGAACCAATCCATGAACCCACTACCCCCGGGCCCCTTCTTGATAACGCACCCCATTCTGACCTGCTTGTTTTTAGACCACTCTTCGGAAAACACTCCTGTGCCCCTGTACTTCTTGCGGGTGCTTTTCCTCACCCGCTTCAGGACCGGGGCTTCGACTGACTCCTGTTTTGTCTGAACTTCCGCTCATCCTTGACTATGCTTCCGGCTTCCCCCTCTAGGTCCGGCAATTTCGAATCGCCTGCCCATTCACACCGGACCAACTCCGGTCCTATCCTAAAGCCAACTAAATCTCTGATGATGCTCCTCGTTACCTTCCCATTCTACTGGAAAGACCGACAGTCATGCCTCCCTCCCACGCTCAGTTTCAGACCACACAAGGGACTAAATTCTTTACTTAAGCCCGACTTCTTCTTCTTCTCCCAACCTTTCTGACCATAGTATTGGCAAAGCGCTCCTGCGTCATGTGGAGAGTTTTTCCCCATTTCTGCTCAAGACGGTACCCACGTCACTGTCCAAAGCTTCCCAAGCTCATGATTTTTCCCTCTCCTTTTGAATATCGAACTATTCCTATCACAATTGAAAAACTTCTTTCTCTCAATTCTTGTAGTGGTACGTCATCTGCCCATACCATAGTCCAACAAATTTCCAGTCATTGGCAATGCATTCTTCACAGCTGGAACTCCAGATTTTCCCAACCCTCAAGTAACACTTAGTCCTTCCTGCCATGGGCAGACGTTAACCCTTGCAGTGCCCCTTTTAACTTTGACACCGAGATCTCCACGTCCTCTGTAATGTCCGGGACATGGGTTACAAGTTCGAAAGGTGATACCTAAACGAACAGTGTGAAATTGCTGGCGTTTGGTCACCCAGCGAAATATTGCAGACTAGGGCCCGAATGCCCAGCTTGGTGCCGACGACCATTCAATACATCTTGCAGCAACCTCCATCTTGCTTAATTGTAATAAAGCCACCCTTCGTACTCCCGCCGTTGCCAGGTCACTTAAAGGGAACGTGAAATCCGTTCCTCAAAGAGGCAGAAGGTCCCTTAGCATGCAGTTACTCATCCCGCCTCCAAGGAGACTCCCCCTGTTTCTTATTCTCCGTGTTTCAAAACATCCCCCCCCCCCTTCTGGGTCCCATCTCTGCAGCCTCCTCTGTTGTAACCCCTCCCAGAGCCACTCTGGCATCTAATCCTTTTGCTGTCCTTGGCTCTGACGTCCCGACTACAACTCAGTCTGTTCTTACATCTTCGCTTTCCTTCCTCACAAGTCCCAGTATGGGACAAGACCTCGTACGACACCTAATACCAATCGCCCCTCTACTTCTCAGAAGTCCAAAAAATCCACATTGCTCAAATCTTTTTTGGGCCCCTTCCTTTCCTTCTTCCACCTCCACACTTTACCTTTCCAGTCTCTGTGCCTAGTTCTTTCCCCTCTCTCTGGCCTATTACAAGTGTGGAGATTCACCCTCCTCCTCGTACTATGCCTTCCACCCCCGTCCCCTCCCAAGTTTCTCCCTCTTCTGCCACCTCCCAGTTTTTCCCTTTCTTCTGTCCCCCCCACACTTCATCCAGTCCCTTAAACTCTTTCCTTCCCCTCAACTTTGGTACAGTCCATTACTGCCCCAGTCTTTGCTCACCCTCCCCCTTCTATCTCCTATAGGTCTCCCATACATCTTTGAATTCAGAAACACTTGAAGCCATTTCAGAATATATTGCAGAGACTAAACCCTTTCAATGGACACTGATTCACTTCCTGTTCCTTCTCTTCCTCTCCTCCATCTTCACAACCCCCATTCTTCGCAACGCTCCATTCCTTCGCTGCTTGAACGTCTTCCAATGCCAACCACACGTTGACTTTTCTAACCCCTCTAGTCCGTAGGTGTCTTTCCCTACGGATTCCTGGTATTTTTTCTTCATCGCCAATCATGGCCTATTTACAGTGGAATACCCCGCGGCCTCAGGGGTAATCAGGGTGAGCTTCAGATGTTGCTTTCCAGGTTTTCCCTGTTGGTGCTTGCTTACAAGAACCAAAATTACACTCGGTTGTTTTCCAACCTATCTCAGGCTATAATTTATTGTATTCTTCAGATCCTTTCTCAGTTTGGGACCTTTAATGAAAGTGCCCTTCTTCTACGCAATGATATTCCGTACTGTCAACTATTGTCCATACCTCGCTGCATTATACTGCAGCCCGTATCCACTTGAATAAGTGGTTTACAATATGTTCTTTATATCTCTTTTCCTTCTCGAGCATCTTCTATCCCAGACTTTGCCTTTCTTGTTTCCCCTTACCACCACCACTTCTGTTACTTGGTGATTTTAAACGCCAACCATTTCCTCTGGGGGGGGCCCTAAATGTGACTCACGTGGCATCCAGGGGAGGCTTTTCTCGCCTCTCCCCCCCTCCATGTTTTAAATAGGGGTACTCCCACCCATTTTGATCCTCGTACTCATACTCTCTCTTGCATCGATCTATCCGTCTGCTCTTCCTCCACTGCACTAGACTTCACCTGGTCTGTTCTACCGGGCTTACATGACAGCGATCATTTTCCAATCATTCTTTCTTCTCCTTCCTATTCACCACCTTTCCGTAGCTCTCGCTGGCATTTGATCGGGCAAATTGGGATCTTTACTCGCAACTCACTGCTTTTAGTGAGGTTCCTTCTTCATCCTCCATTGATGAGCTCCTACAAACCCCTTCTTGATGTCAGTTTATAAACCGCGCTTCTCATTCTATACCCCCAAACCCCATGCAGGCATTCTCAAAAGTGCGTGCCTTGGGGGTCTCCTGCTTATGCTCGTGCAGTACTTTGAAACGCGCTGCATGGGCAGGTACCGGTACAATAGAACCGCTGAGAGACTTCTTGATTTTAAGCAGAAGCGTGCGATCGCTCGCCGTGTCATCCCGTGAAGCTAAACGCACTTGCTGGCAAGACTATGTTTCCACCATCACCTCTGCTTCTTCTATGAGTGCAGTCTGGAAAAAAGTGAGGAAATTGAGTGGTAAATACTCTCCTGACCCGGCTCTGTTCTACGGGTCACTGGTGTTGATGTAGCAAACCCTCTCGACGTTGCCATTGAACTTGGCACAACACTCTGCTCCTATTTCCCGGGGGCTCCATCTATGCCCCCCGTTCTTTCCTCGAAGTCTGCCAGAGAGTTAGTACCCTTGGACTTTTCTTCTCTCAGAGAAGAACAGTATAATGTGCCTTTTACACTTCAAAAACTGGGGGCAACGCTCTCAGCTTGCCGATCATCGGCAGCTGGGCCTGACGACATTCATATCGTATGTTACAACTTTACATCGGTCAGCCCTTGTATTCCTCTTACACCTCTTCAATCTTATTTGGGCCAAGGAGTTCTTCCCCAGCTGTGGAAATCTGCCATTGTTCTCCCTTTCCGCAAACTGGGGACTACAGGACATGATGCCTCCCACTATCGCCCATCGCTCTTACTAGTGCAGTTTGCAAAGTGATGGAACGTTTTCGTAAAATCGACGTTTTAAAGTGGCATTTAGAGACACACAACATTCTCTCCGCTAGTCAATATGGCTTTCGTAAGGGCCTTCTACCATAGACCCCTTACTACCTTGGATACGTATGTTTGTAATGCCTTTGCGAATAAACACTCAGTTATTGCCAAAATTTTTTGACCTTGAGAAGGCAAAATGAAACAACTTGGAGGTATAATATTTGGCCCAGGCCCACTCCTTAGGCCTCCGAGGGAATCTACCACCTTCCTTAAGAAAATTTTTAACTGACAGACATTTCCGTGTTCGAGTCAAAAATGTTCTTTCCCCCGGAAATTCGTCCAAGCTGAAGGTGTCTCTCAGGGATGTGTTCTAAGCACAACACTTTTTTCTCCTTGCTATAAATGATTTGGCCTCTGTTCTTCCACCCAATATTGGTCATCACTCTATGTTGAAAGACTTCGCTATTGGGTTGTGCAGGCGCTGACTGTCATCTCATTGCAGTTTCTCTCCAGCATGCGGTCGACCGTGTTTCCACTTGGGCCACCACGCATGGTTTAAATTTTCCATTACCAAAACTCACCAAATTACTTCACTAGATGCCTGTCATCTCGATAATTCCCTTTTTATCTCTATGGCTCCCCCTATCCCCGAACGTGATACAGTCAGGTTTCTAGGCCTTCTCTTTGACCGTAGGTTATCCTGGAAACCCTCACATTATCTCTCTGAAGGCAACTTGTCACAGCCAGCTAAACCTTCTTAAAAAACCCTTGCTCATCTTTCCTGGGGACTGATTGTCGAACTCTGCTTCGCCTACATTTAGCCCTCGTTTTAATCGAAACTCGATTATGGTGACCAATTTATTCAGCGCCTCTCCATTTCGGACTATTTTTCTGCAATAACTACCCACCTTCCACCCGTTGGCAAAAAAACGTTTATCAACCTGCCGTAACAAACTTCATTCTATTAAACCGGGATGGTTATGGCCGTCTTCTTGCATCAT